CTGGTCTAGCCAGATTTGTAAGGTAGAATTGGGATCATGATAGTGGATGGGGAGGAAGTATTTAGGAGCTAGAGGAAAGTTGTATGTTTCATCCTTGCTACATTGTACCCTGACTGGCTGTCTCCTCCCCGGGACCCTTCTGTAAGGGGATGTCCAGTGGCCTACAAATGAGCTTTGGGTCTCCACTCTGCACTCCCCCGCTCATTCACAATGATATGATTTTTTTGTTCTGATGATGCCTGATCCCTTCAACACCTCGTGATCACGCAGGCTGGTGTGCTTCTTCCATGTGGACTTTGTTGCTTCTGAGCTAGATCGATGCTTGTTTACCTTCAAGTCTTTAAGACCCCAGATGCTATATTTTTTGATAGCCGGGCACCATCAGCTTTCTTCACCAGATTTGCTTATATACTCGCTTTGTCTTCAGCGATTGTGTCAGGAAGGTGACCATCATAGAATGGCAGTTTAATAGAACAAAGTATACTTGCATTGAGGGAGTACTTGAATGGAGGCCCAATGTCCATCTGCTACCTTAATACTAAACCTATAAATATATGCACATAGATCTATTTTCTCATCCTCATATATGAATATATTTACATATGTACATGTCTTTATTTAGACCTCATAAATGCCCTTTGCCTCCTAGCTCTTTCCTCTATTTCCTTTGACATTCCTCTTGTCCTACTATCATGCTCAGTCTTCATTTGGGTTTCATTAATTCCTCTTGGTTACATTATCCTTGATCACGCCCTACCAGGCCTCCTACACCCTCCTCACCACCGATTTGGATCACTTGTTGTTCCCTTGTCCCTGGGTTTGTTAATACCACTACCTTTCCCCCCACCTCCCCTTCTCCCATGTCCCCCCGGCACTGTCAGTCCTGTTGTTTTCTGCGCCAGATTGTTCATCCAGCCTATTTTACTTAGACAGACCTGCAGAGATAATAACATGCACAAAAACAAGACGAAGCAAAACCGAGCAACAATATAAAACAAAACAACAACAAACCAATGACAAAACACAAGAAAAAAAAAGCTTGTAGTTAGTTCAAGGACTGTTTGTTGGCCTTTAGGAGTGTTTTCCAGTCCAGTCTGTTAGGGCACTAATTCCTGGCCCCAAAGTCCACCTCAGCATTCCCTGGAGACTTCGCCACTCCGTTCCCTTGCTGTTTTGTTTCACCCCCTTAGTGTTTTGTCTCGGTGGGGCCAGATCAGATCGGGCGCAATTCCCACACTGTGTCTCCACTGTTGTCCCCTGTAGGCCTATGGGTCAGTGAGGGATGTCATGTCTCATAGTGGGGCCGGCCATGTGGTCCTCTCTGTGGACTGGCTGCTCTAAGTGGGAACATCGTCCTCAAGCCCTCGTGGGCCAGGATGTGCTCCACTCTCTCCTCCCCCTTCATCTGCTCCCGTGTGCTCCAATCAGACATGTCCCTCTCTGGGAGGTGCAGATTCAGTGCCGTCCTGCTTCAGAAGTTTTTTGTGCGTGTTTGTGAAGAAGCCCTGAGATGTCCCAGTTGCAGTAATTACTCCCCCGATGGCTCGTAAATCCAGGGTAGCGGTGAAGTGTGCATTCTCAAAGCACAGAAATAGAGGAAGGAGGACACTGGGAATTCGAAATCCTTCTACACAGCTCCTGTAGGCACCACCCCTGTAACAGGTAACCCCTAACCTATCTGCTTAGCCTTGTTGCTCCCCCACAACAAAGAATCCCACGGCAATCAAGTCCATAGGACAGAGTACAACTGGTCCTTTGGTTTTCCAAGTCTTTACAGTCTTGATTTGGTGAACAGACAGCCTCATCTTTCTCCCGTGGAGCTGCTGGTTGGTTTGAACCACCAACCTTGCAGTTGGCAGGTTAGCAGCCCAACACTTGCGGCCTCATTGACACAACACCTCATTTCTTTTAACCCCATTCTGCCAGAGCCTGGAGCCCATTTCTGCACATTCAGCCACTGCTCCTTACCCCCCCACTTCCCACCCCCCACCACACCCCCGTGGTACCCTTTTATCTTTCTTGTCTAACCCTGCTCACTTCTGGGGAATTTATCTCCACCCTTAATCATCTATGGTTACGAACTGACTGAGGGGACTTTGCCGTGAGCCTCTCCTTCTGGTACTGTAATCCCTCTGGAATGTGCCCTGAAAGGAAGTTTCAGCTCTGACTTGAATCCTGACAGCCCAAGACGACAAGGTTACGCTGCTCAAATGTACCCAGTGGGAGATCAGGCTTTCTGGAGCAGAGCTGGGGTGTGGAGCGGCACACTTGCCCGTCTTAAGAGAATTCATGGTGGTGTCTCTCAATGGATACTCGGTGCCCCTCAACTAAAGTCAAGTGTCGAATCAGGGCCGTCCTTAGCTCAGCTGGGGCACCTCACTCCCTGGCCTTCAGTCTGCACTGCCCACCACTGCCCAGGAAGGGGTGCATATTGGAAGCTCCTTTTGACTTTCCCTCTGGTCTTGGCCTACAGGAAGTTCTGCACATAGGAAGTGCCCACAACCGAAGTGCGATGCCCTTCACTGCCTCGCCCGCCTCCAGCACCGCCCCCAGGGTCATCACCAACCAGTACAACAACCCAGCTGGCCTCTACTCATCGGAAAATATCTCCAGTTTCAACAATGCCTTGGAGTCAAAGACAGCAGCCAGTGGGGAGGAGACTAACGGCAGATCGTAAGTAAGCCCAGGAGTTCTCTGCCAAGTTAGCCTGGGGAGGGGTTTCCCTGCGCCCGGCTCAGCCAAGCTGGTGGAAGAAGGTGGAGCCTACCTCCTGCTTCAGAGAGTACAAACAACTCCCCAGAGGGGGGGGCATGTTTGGCAAAAAGACATCTATTATTTTTGTGAAAATACAGTACTGTCTACGTTAATTTTCTTCACATATTGAATTAGAGTAACATCACACAACTTGTAGGGCTTCTTGGAAAAAATAAGAAAGGACAGTGTCCAGCATTGTGTCTGGACAGACTGATTGATTCCGTTTCTGAGACCTATTTGTCATTGTTAGCCTGATTGTTGTGGTTGGTGTCATCTTGTCATTGACCATGCCCTTCACTGACAGCCCTGCTCTACTTGAGAAATCCCCAGCGTTTTTCAATGGGGAGGATATGAAAGGAACCGAATGTAGTGCCTACATGTGTTCATTCAGCGCCTGATCCAGGTGAGGGAGAAATATCTCATGATGCAACTTTTGGGTGAAGCCGTGGACCAGAAACCACTGAAGAAGGAGACTCCCAATAGGATGTAAATGCCGTTCACCAGAACCGGCGTGGCGCTGGGGGACCGGAATCAAGCCAGGGCGGTGGGGTTGCAGATGGAGAGAGAGCGGGGAGAGTCCGAGGAAACATCTCAGGATTGGGATGCGGGTCTCCCCCTGTCTCTGCGTCTTCATCACAAGCTCCTCTGGGTCTTCGCAGCCGGGGAAGCCGCCTCTGCTCAACCCCAGCCTCCGCGGAAGATGAACCCACAAAGCACGGAATCTCAGCAGCCCGTGGCAAAAGGAGTCGTTGTGAGGATGGAGAATAAGAGACGGGGCTGGATCTCTGTGGATGCAAAGAGGTTGGGCTAGGTCAGGAGCTTTATCTTCAGATGACCAAGGGTGACAGTCACCAGACGGAAGTGAGGGCAGAGTTCTGAGTATAAGTCGGGGAGCAGAGGGATCCATGGGAGGTTGGAAAGCCCATGCCCTGTCTAGAGGGGGAGACTGCTCTTTACTCCAACCAGACCGCTTGCAGCCTGAAGGTGATTTCTTCCATTAAAACTGGAGGGACAGTTTCTTTTTATGGGACCTGTCTTCACGGGAACCGTCAAATGTGTTTGAGAACACCGTGGGCCAGGCTTGACTCAACGTCTGGCATTAACTCCGAAGGTCATTTTGCCATTCAAATTCTCCTCCGTTAACCCTTGATAAGAATCTGCCTAGCTTTTCAGATAATTCAATTGTAAGTGAACAGCTTCATGAGGAGGTTAGGGCGGGGTTCACACTGGTTACTTGTTTGGAAAAGACTACTGTGGGCATCCCTCATGGGGGCTTAAGGTACATCATGTACCCCGCCCCCACCCTGCAAAGAGACAGACTTTTGAGTATCCCTCCCCCCTTTCTACAGGCCCCGCCTCTCAGCACTGAGAGCACTATGCTTACCTTTAAGGATCCTGAAGATCTAGTGGACAAGAAAGACAGGCATGCTTTTTGCCGGTGACTTTGACTTAAGATGTCATGGTTATTGAAGAGGCCCTGATGGTGCAGCGGTTAAGCGCTGGCTGACATAGTTCAGCCGCTAACGGGAAAGTTGACAGTTTGAACCAATCCAGTGGCTCTGCGGGGGAAACAGCCGGCCGTGAGAGCAGGCAAACCCTATGGGGTCACTGTGTTGGACTCAACTCAGCAGCACCCGCAACAGCAAAGGTCATCGGCGGCATTTTATCTTAATAACCGAGGCTACGTGGCCACATATTCTGCTACTGCTTTCCCCCGTTCTAGTACCTTCAAGGCCCTCCAGGCTTGAGCTAGGATACCCTGAAGGTGGCTGTGGGGCCCATTTGGGACCCAGAGTCCCCAGGCCCTCCAGGCCTTCCATGCGCACCCCGTAACCCCCACCCCAAGGGCAACTGCTTCTTGCGCCTTCTGGCCAGGAGCTGGGTGTGCAAGCCGAGGGCTGCGATCCGGCTCATTGCCACCTCGGTGGTGCTGGGAGAGGCTGAGAATGTGACCCTCTTTACGGTCCCACAGTGGAATGTTCTGTGATCTGGATTTAATAACCCAGGAAATGACACATTCTTAATTGAAAGAGCAGCTATGCATTGGGAGAAGTATGTGCCTGGGGATTATTTTTAGTGTGGCTATTTTTCCTTCATTAATGTCTTCTTTCTTCGCTCTCCTTCCCGCCTGCTCCCTCCCCTGATCGCCAACAATGAAGTCTGAAACTGTCTGGTGCCTAGACAAGCCTTCCCTGCAGCCGGCCGGCCCATCCTGTGACAGACCATTTTTGGCTGCCGCTGTGTCCGAGAGCCATTATCACTAGTCTCCTTTCTGGTCTCACCTCCTCTCCACCCCAAACTCTCGGAGGATGGATGGAGAAACAGCCCACGCCAAAGGAGCTGCCCGAATCAGCTGTGCTGCCTTATCTGGGGCCCCTGTTTTAGGAGGAATTCCTAGAGGCTGCTTGAGTTCATTCCCAACCAAGGCACTCCTGGTTGCCCAGTGGCCCCAGGGCAGGCAACCTTTCTCGTTTGCTCAGCACAAGCCCCAAGCGCTTGCTCACCCTGACTGTTTAGTCTGTGAACTGGCATACTGGCATACTCAGTGTCTGAGATCACCCCTGATTGCCTGGGGGGCCCACTCTGTGTTTCTTTGTCCCATGTGCTCCAAAGCATCGTGGGGTGTATGTGTGGCTGTCTCTCCTGTAGGCCTTCCCGGACACGAACACAGATGCCATTTCTGGATGAAACTGGGAAGGCAGGTGGGAGGACACTGAGTGCGAGGCCTTCCGTGTGGCATTACTGTTGGGTGTCAGGTGGGTGGAGGAAAGGCTGCTCAAATCAGCAGAGAGCCACCCCCGACCCCCTGACCTCTTTGAACTGAGTGTAGGGCCTTAGCCCTCTGGGAGCCAGAGGAAGCTACGTCCGCTACGAGTTTGTCCCTGCATGGTTCAAACAGCTAAGGATTTGACAGCAGACGGAAAGGTGGTCAGTTTGAACCCACTCAAGTGCCTCAGGAGAAAGCTCTGGTGACCTGCTCCTGATGGACCATGGCCTTGAAAACCCTGTGGTGCGCAGTCCTACTCTGCCCGGGTGCAGGTGCCAGGAGCGTGGGAAGCAACTCGAGTCTGGTTTTTGTTTTCTTGCTCATTTTCTGGTACTTCAGAAATGGCCTGGGTTTGATTATTTACGTGACGCTGCCCGGTACTTTCCTCAAGGTCCCACGTATGCACCGAGAGGGGCCTGAGCCTGAATCCCGGCTTTTCCTCTAACTGCTTGGGGACCTTGAGCAAACCAGGTCACTGTCTCTCAGGTCACAGTCTGCTCTTCTCAGCGGTGGAGAGCATCCTAACCATCTCGCTCACCGGTAGAGGGGAGGATGCAGTGAGAGGCGGGTGAAAAGTGCTGAGTACGGTGGCTGGCCCTGGCTGACTTAGTCAATGCCTGTCATCACTGATGTCACTGCCCCGAGGGACTCCAGATTCATGACTTGGGGTGGGGCAGGGGGTGGGGCCTCCAGAGGGTGGGTGCCTGTAGACTACTGTTGTGGAGCTTTTGCTATGACACACACTTAAGTCCTCTTTTCTAGCATTGTGGTTTTAGCTCAGCCAGCCAGCACCGTCTGGTTTTAGCTCAGCCAGCCAGCACCGTCCCTCAGCTATCTGAGGGACTCCTAAACCCTGAGGCACCTGAACTGCCCACCTTTCCATCAGTAGTCAAGCCCTTAGCTGTTTGAACCACCCAGGGACAACCTTGAGATGGATGTAGCTCCCTCTGGCTCTGTGAGGGCTAATACCCTGCGTGCAGTTCAAAGAGGGTAGGGGGTGGCTCTCTGCTGATTTGAGTTTCCCTAACCAACACAGGTGTCCTGGGAGACCTGCTCTACCAAGCTGTGTTCTCTGGGCACTCCCCCAAGCACTAGGGAGACAGATTTCTAAGCAGGTGCAGTGGAAATAAAGGAATGCATTGTTCCCTGTTCAAATGATGTCAGAGGAACTGTCCTCACTCTGACTCAGTTGGAGACGGGTCAGAAGGAAACCTCTACCCTGCAGGTGGCTGCTTGCTCCTCCAGCTAAACTTGCCCAGAGTCTTGGAGAACTGGCTCTGGTGTCTGGGTGTCCTCCCCTCTTCTGGGGCCCATAATCACGGCTCTGGCCTCTTATCACATGTCCAACATCTAGGCCTTTGAAGACTAAGCTTTAGAGAGAACTCAGCTCAGCCTCCCTTTCTAACAAGGGATTGAATAGGGTTTCCCAGGAGTGCATTTTTTCCGTCATGAACATTGGAGTAACCAGGCTGGGACGTCTTCTTCCTTGACCCATTGGTAAGGAGTCCTGGTGGTGCTATAAGTTAGGTGTTGGTCTGCTAGCTACAAGGAGAGCAGTTCAAACCCACCTGCTGCTCGTTGGGAGGAAGTTGAGGCTGTCTGTTTTCATGAAGTTTAGTAGTCCTGGCAACCCTATGCAGAGTCGCTAAAGTTGGAATCAACTCGATAGCAGTGGGGTTTGATTTGGTTTGAGTCATCAGTAGTTTACATTGCTTAATTTCCATAAGCAAGCAATTATTGGTATACTTTCAATTTTTATTTTTTTGGTATTGATGTCCAGTTTCACTTTCTTATGATGAGAGAAAATAATTTGTATGACTTCAACCTTTTGAAATGTATCCGTGTCCCGAGATCTGAGACATGAGTAAGGAAGGGTTTATCTGAGTCAATCTACCACCTTCCTTCCCACCCCCATAGAAATCAAGTACCTAAATCTTGTGCGTATCATTTCCAGTTCTCCCTTAGCTTTCACCATTTAGGGAAAAAAGATTTTCTTTCAAGACCACATAGCCTGCCAGTTTATTTTGCAATACATGTAGACTCACATGCAGTATGAGAAAGAATACAGACAAACAAAACAACCCATGACATCTTTACCCAGTTTCAATAATCCCTTGAAAATCTATAGAACATCATGGCAACCAGAATACTGATGCAATCAAGATACAGAACATCCCAGGATGACTACTGTTTTATAGTCTTTTCCCAGTCTACCCTACTCCCTCTGGAGCTGATACCCCACTCTCCATACCTTGGTGTCGCCATGGTCCTGAGCTCCCAGGCCTAGCAGCTTATTCCTCCAAGGCATTTTGTTACATCTAAGAAGTGTGTCCCCTGTAGGCTCCACCACATTCATAGATGTATTTGCAGCAAAAGTAATATTCATGTACTACAATATCCTGTCAAACCTCTTACACGTCTGTCTCTCCCACACCTGTTCATCCCGCATGTCTATCCGTGCATCTGCTCCTAGGTAACTCTTGCCAGATGGTGCATATGGCAGTCTTCCTCTCTGTCCCTCAACTCTTTCACTTCTCCATCTGTTCACCTGCCTCAGCCTTTTTGGCAAACCTCCCTCTTATTGAAGCATGCGTTCAAGGTTGACCCATGCCATAGCATGAATCAGAGTTTCAGCTGTCATTTCTCTTTAATGATGCAATAAGATGACACTGTCTAAATGGACCACATTTAATTTATCCCTTCACGTATTGATAGAGACTTGGGTTTCTTCCATTCTTTGGCTGTTGTGAACAATGCTGCTGTGGACGTTGGTGTGTAAGTGTGGGAGCCCTTTCTGAGTAGCTGCCACTGTAAGCCCCTCTTCTGGAAATGAATGTGGTAAAAAGAAACCCAGGGGACGCACCCTCATGTCATTTCTTGGGCCCCGAGGTCCCAAGCTGGTTTGCCTTCTTTTCTCAATTTTTTGCTTTCTTCTTAAGTTTGTTTGCTTTATAGTACCCAGACTCTGAGTTGTACATAATGGGAGGAATAGGGGCGGGAGAGGAGGGGAAAGACTCCTGACTCTACCTTCCTAGATGGAGGATTTTATCAAGAAAAGTCCTGTCCAAGACTTCCAGTTATTCAAATAATCCCCTCCTCTTGCCAAATCCATCTCACGAACAGGTTGTTGTAGTGAAGAACCAAGGTTCACTTACTCTATGAGAAAATGATCCCATTAAAGTTGTATCAGCCGGGGCAATTTTATCTTAGTGTTTCCTAGCTGTAGTTGGGATACGTAGACATATTCATTTAGACACATTTAGTTGGCATTTAGACACACGTAAGTCACAGAAGAAGGCTTAAATTTTAAAAAATGTTAATGAAGTCATCCTTAAATCCCAACTCTGATTACTGATGCCCGGGTGAAGCAGTGTGTTCAATTTTGGGCTGCTAACTGCAAGGTCACCAGTTCAAATCCACCAGCCTCTCCATAGGAGAGAGTTGCCGCTCCCTGCTCTTGTTTGAATTTACAGCTCCGGAAACCCTGAAGAGCTGTTCTTTTCTGTCCTGTTGGGGTCGCTAGGAGTCGGAATTGACTCAACCAGTAGCAGTGGGTTTGGGATTTGGGTCACTTCATCCTTCTGACAGACTAGACCTTCTAGGTGTGGGCCGCTCTTGGTCTTCCTTGACCTTTTGACCTTTACCTCAGCTAGTTTTCAGCAGGAGCAGGTCCACATGGCACACCTGTCTCCCTTCGCCTCAGAGATTCACCTTGGAGATGAGCTCAAGGGGAGGTTCATTGGTTCTAAAGACCACTGTGGTCCTTGACCACCCGCCTCTGACGGCCACTGCGTCAGGCTGAGTGCCAACGAGCTGGGACATCTCTGAGGTGACAGGCACTCTTTTCTTAGCGTAAGCCTCTGAGGTCAGGGCCTACAGTAATGGAGAGAATGTCAGACCTTCAGACAAGTGGTGAATAGACAGGCCAAGTATGCTGAACATAGAGCGTAAGGCAACGGAGTTGAGTTTGATTAAAATCTTGTATTTTGTTAGTCAGACCCCAAAGACTGGGCTTAGAAGAATGTGGTTACTTCCTGCCTCCCACTCACTAAACCTTTCCCCTTGGCGACTCAGTTATGTTTATTTTATGTTCTGAAATCACATCACTGTAGAATTCTTTATGTCATTGCTGTTACTATATATAAAAGCAAGAATGCTATTTCCCCCCCTCTTCTTCTTTCTTTTAAGTGAATGCTTTCCCTCTAGAATTAAGAAAAATATTAGCGTGGTATGTGTCTTTAATGTCTAAGATCTAGGCATGGAGATGAGTTTGCTATTTTTTAATGGAGTACGAGTGTATTATACTTTCAACAAAATAGATAAATAAAAAACCTAAAAAGGAATGAACGTGGAAAATGCCTTCGAAAGGGTCATCTAGTGGAATGACGTCATTATTTGAGAAAAATGATGGTTTTTTTGTTTGTTCTTTTTGACCATGGGGATACTTTGAAGAGTTGTTTGTTGGGAGAACACATGGTGATGACCTTGGGGTTTCGGTTCTGTCATCTTTAGTATTCCCTCAGTGGCTTTCAGACATACCATTCCCCGTAGAAGATACAAGGTTCTTCCCAGGAACATTCCAGGGTTCTGACTTGACTTGACTTGAAAATAGTTCTAAGTGTAATAGAGGAAAAACTCATTAAAAAACAATGCAATCCATTTATTGTAGGGCAAGCTCAGAACACAGAACTCCCAGAAAGAATCAGCATAGAACTCAAACAGCAGGGCTGAGAAGGGAGCCAGCGAGCGGCCATGGTGTTTCCTGTCCTAGGGAGGCAGGAGAAAGACCAGGCTTTCTACTCCCAGAAAGAGTTCCCGTCTCGGAAGCTCACAGGGGGCAGTTCTACCCTGTCCTGTGGGGTCCGTGGGAGTCCTGCTGATGAAAGGGGCCTCATCCACAGGCAGGGCAGGGGGGAGGAGAGAGACACAGGCGGAGACCGCAGGTATGAGCAGGGGAACGATTGCTGCTGTCCCCTTTCCCGGTGACACCTGCAAAGGGGCTGGTGGGGCTTTCTGCTTCACCTTTGTCCTTCCCTGGCAGCAGCAAAGCCCCTGTCGCTCTCTGCTGCTACCTTTCTTGAGAGACGATGCCGTGAAAGGGAAGTGGCTGGGGTTTCCTCACCGACTCACACAGCTGCTGGCCGGAGACCTGAGTGGTGACCTGAAAATGGCCCAGGAACCCGAGCAGTTGCCCCAGACGTTGTCTCAGCGGAGAGAGACAGGGCGCAGAGAGAATTCATCTGAGCCCAAGGGGAGACCTCTGCTCCCCCAAATAGCACTGTACAGTTTATAAGAAGGTGATCAGATTTAAAGCGGGACATCATTGACTGTGGGGTAGGGGTGGGGGTGTGTGTTCTTGATTAAAAATAGACCGTTCCCTAGCTTGTCATGGATTCTTTCAAAAAATCAAGACTTTTTTAAAACTCCAAAAATCCCGCCAAAAGTGGAACATCTGGTCACCTTAGTTTCTAAAGCACTTTCATATTTCATCGTTGCCACGGACCTTGTGAAGGAGGAAAGGCAGGTCCCTCCGTGCCCGAGATAAGGAAAATCTTGAGGCGTTTATGGGAAGCGGGAGCCCCTTGGATATAATCAGAACTAAAGGGCACCGCGATGCTGCGCTATGCATGGAATGTACGTGGCCAGCTAACTTTTCAGTGGTCACATTGTGGTTGGCATTTTCCCGCTTGTATGTTTTCTCTTGACATAATGTTGTTTATGTGGTTTAAAAAGAGGCATTCCAGGGGGTGAGGCCCCAAAGGAACGGAATTTCTAAGACTCACTCGGGAAAATAACCTCTGAGGTCCTTGAAGCAGCTGCAGCTCCTCCTGTAAATACCCCTCGGGCTTAGCAGGCCTGTGGCTGCCTGGAGGGGGGTCCGCTCCTCGGGCTAATTTCTGTCTGCCATTTGATTCAAGGATGTTTTTGCTTGAAGACATTGTGGGATTTTTTTTTTTTTCATAACCTCTGACATGTCCTAATGAATCCCCAAACATTTTTTTCACAGCTTAGAGCCTTCTCAGCCTCCAAGCGGCCTCGTCATCGACAAAGAATCTGAAGTTTACAAGATGCTTCAGGAGAAACAGGAGTTAAATGAGCCTCCCAAACAGTCCACTTCATTCCTGGTTTTGCAGGAAATTCTGGAATCTGAGGAGAAAGGTAAGGAACCTGATGACTCGGTTCCAAAGTCCTTGTTGTGTGGCCCGAGGCAAGGGCCAGTTCTTAAGGAAACCCAGGTGAGGCCAGTCTAGAATGGGTGGAAAAAACACAAAAAAGGGAGCGAAGGAGAGGGGTCAGGACTGACACTCTTCCTGCTGGGGCTTTAAGAAGCTTAGTACCCACCTAGTGGCCTTTTCTGGTCACATGTGCAGTCGAAGGGGAGGCCAGGGCGTGAACTGGACTGTGGGATTCTGCTGGTGTGGCTTTGGGACCTTTTTTTATTTGGTCCTCCCAGCGAGGTACATGAGCTGAGCCTGCCAGTGAGAGTCAGGGTTGGGCTGCTGGAGCCCAGGCTAGAGAAGGTTGATCTTGATGAGGTGCAGCTGCCAATTCCACCCCAGGGCAGCTCAGCGATCCGATCCTGGGTCTCAAGCTCTTCTCCGGGACTTATGGGCATCTGACCCAATGAGCGCTGCAGGGTCCGTTTACATCCTAGTGCTGACTGGGATGGCCGGAACTTTTCTCTTATTTGAAGGGTTTTACACCCACTTATTCAGACTTAAACTAAGATGATGGGGTTTCTCAAGTGTTCTGACTAAGCCCTTCCCCTCAAGGTGTGGCCCCACCCCCCATGATATTTGTCAGCCTGGCCTAAAGATTAGTCCAGACCGTGGCTCATTACTTACTGCTGTGGATTAAATTGTGGTGGCGCAGTTAAGGGGGAAGGTGTTAGCCACAAAGTCCTTGGTTCAAACCTACCAGGCGCTCTGTGGGGGAAAGTAAAGATTTATAGTCTCACAAGCCCCGTATGGGGTGTTATGAATCTCAATCTGCCAGATGATGAGATTCTGGTGTTTGGGTTGTGTGTGTGTATGGCTGTGTTAGGCTGGGTTCTCTAGAGAAGCAAAATCGGTGAAAATCTAGATATAGGTATCGATATTGTCATCGATTTTTCCTTGTCTACAGAACCCAACCTAAGACAGTCACCAGTGTCATCTGGTACATTTCAGATATCTGTATCTAGATAGATAGATACGGAGAGAACTTTATATCAAGAAGATGGTTCACATCGCAGTCGATGTGAGCACATTTGGGCTGAGTTCTATGGGCCAGACATTAAGTTGGAGCCTTTTCCTGACTCAAGTAGCTTTGGGGACTGATAAAGTAACTCAACATCAGTAGGAACCCAACAGGCTGATATCAGACTGCAACGTGGATGACTGTAGGGTCAGAAGGCAGGCTGCTGGTGGCCGGCCACTGAAGGCGCCCAGGGTCGCAGGCAATATGGCAGTGTGTTGGCTTATGGAGGTGATGACAATATGTTCGGTCATATCATGGGGCATGACTAGGCCTTTACTGCCCAACCATGAGACTCTTGGCCCAGCCAACTTGACAATAACATAATTATCACAGCGGCTCCTAATTCCTCTTATGGATGAGATGTTCAAGGTGCAGTGGGTTAAGCATTGGGCTGCAAACTGCAAGGTTAATGGTCCAAACCCACCAGCCGCTCCCTGGGTGGAAGATGTGGCGGTCTTGCCTCCCTAGAAACCCCAGCTCTGGAAACCGGAGGCCGATCTTCTCTGTCCTTCAGGGTCCCCATGAGCAGGGCTTGCTGTGGGTGTGTACCTGTCGATGTCATTCTGTCGATGTCTGGAAATTGGGTTTTCTTGGTTCTGTTCATTAGATTGCATCAGAGTCAGGTGGGGCAGGTCCTAAGCCTAATCATGTCTGAGCTTTAAAGCAGCGGTTCTCAATCTTCCTAATGCCGCGACCCTTTCATACAGTTCCTCATGTGGTGGTGACCCCCAACCATCACATTATTTTCGTTGCTACTTCATCACTGTCATTTTGCTACTGTTATGAATCGGGCAACCCCTGTGAAAGGGTCGTTCGACCCCCAAAGGGGTTGCAACCCACAGGTTGAGAACCGCTGTTATAAAGAGAGCAGGTTAGACACAGAAACAGGCACACACAGGAAACGACAGATACCCTGGAAGGATCACCTATAAGCCTGGGGTCCAAGGAACATCTGGACTATCTACAAGGAAGAACCCACCTTGTCCAGACCTGGAAATGGACTTTCAGCTCCAGAACTTTAAGAAAATTCCAGTCTGTTCTTTAACGCCTCCTACTCCCCGTCATCTCCTTCCAGCAGCTTTGAGAAAGACACTTCCCGTCACAGAGACCCTGCGAGCAAAGGGGACATTGCTGGTAGCACAGTGTCTCGTTAGCACACACGAAGCACTTTTCTCCTAAGTTCCTGTGGGGGTGGATTACCACACTCTAAAGAAGTTACAAGATGGGGAGGACGTCCAGGTGTTGGGTGTATTCAATGGAGGATCTTTCAAGTCCCGAAGGCCTCCCCAAGAACCTACGTCCGCAGCCAGTCCCTCTGCAGAGGGCGGTTGCCTCTCCGGGGGTGGGGATGGGGGTGGGGGTCCTCCTTGCTGACTGCTCTGCACGAACACCACCTTTGGAGCCTGATGTGAGGCAGGTAGCTCATGGGATCACCAAGTGTCCAGCAACGGTGTAACAACTGTCCTGGCAGGTGGGCACCCTGGGGAGAGGGGAGCAGAGCAGCAGGCAGACACCTGGACAGGACAGGGGCAGAGAGAGTGTGTGTGGAGGGGTGAGTGTCCCAGGCAACCAGAAAGGGGCATGCAACCCAATTCTCCAGAGGAGTTATGCACAGATGTGGTGGAATCCCAAGGTCTGTGTCTAGAAAGACATTTTACCAGAAGGCACGTGGTCTGAGGGCTGCGGATGCACAGGGGGAACTCTTGTGAGAATTAGAACAACACAGCTCTCTTGGCCGACATTTCCACCTACCAAAAATCTCTCATAATATTGGGCTGTTGTTAGAATAACACACCTTTGCTGCTAAAAATCATATCAAAATAGAGTAAAGATCAAATACCGTAGCATCTCATTCCATTAAATAAGCAAATACCTATAAACTAAAGAATATCAGAGGTTACCAGGGATGGGAGTTATTGTTACTGGTGTGGGGTGCCAGCTTGTCAGTTGCGTCTCACAGTGTTCCCAACACTGTCTAGTCCTGCACCAGCCTCACAACCGTTGTTATGCTTGAGCCTGATCTTTAGCCACGGAGTCAACCACCTTGTTGAGGGTCTTCATCTGTTTGCCATGACTCTCTATCAAGCATGATGTCTTTCTCCAGGGCCGGTTCCTCCTGAGAGTATCTCCAATGGATGGGCGGTGAAATCTCACCATTCTCGCTTCCGTGGACTATTCTGCCTGTAGTGCTTCCCAGACGGATTTGGTTCTTCTTCTGGTGGTCCACGGGGCATTGGCTGTTCTTTGCCAAGACCATCATTCCAGCGCATCCGTCCTTCTGTAGTCCTCCTCATGCACCGCCCAGCGCTGGCTCCTAGGCGTATGAGGTGATTGAAAGTAGGACAGCTTGTAGAGAGAAGGAGGCAGGGTGGGGAAGAGTTTTTGCTTAGTTTCATTGTGGTTTTGCTACTCGTGCTGGAAGAACTTGGAAAAGGTGGGGAAAGTGGCTGCCTCGCCTGTAGAATGTGGTGTCACGGACTTGCACACGTAGAAATTGCTGAGTCGGGATGTTTGGTTGTATCGTCTCACCACGAGACACAGACGTCTGGATCCATATCCATATAGTGTGTGACAATCTAGAAGGCAGAGGATCTTCGCAGACCCAGAGAGTCACAAAGAGGACCTTGGGGCCTCAGGCGTCAGAGTTCACACACGGACAGGTGAGGGCTGACCTGGGAGCTCAGTGGATGGGTTTCAAACATAAGCCCCATCCATGAGCATCTGCTCTGTACCAGTCATGGTGAGGAGTGTTTTGCACAAGTTCAGGTATTTAATCTTTATAACTATTTCTGAGGCGTCAACTTGAGACTATTAAGAGGGAAGGAGTGGAGTTTAGCCTGCCCATCAGGTCTCAGCTTGATGGCCTCATTTGGAGGTGCTACAGAGATAAATAGCTCACTGGAGGCCAGGCCCACTCTCTCTGCTTCACCTTCCTGCTGATAAAAGACACATGGCACGACGCTGATGGAGCTGGGGGAACCACATCGCTGAGATGCTTCCACTGCTTCTTGCGTTCTGTATCCTTGCATGTGTTGCGTGAGTCTGAAGAGGAATTTATAGATTGGTATCGGACATGTGGGCTGATATTGGACTTATGGACTCGATCTGGACTGGGCTGAGATATTTTCTTTCTTTTAAAAAAAAATCTTATTGGGGGCTCATAAAACTCTTATCACAATCCATACATACACCAATTGTGTAAAGGACATTTGAACATTTGTACAAATTCTTGTCATTCTCAAAACATTTGCTCTCCACTTAAGCCCTTGACAACAGCTGAGATGTTTTCTTAATGGACAATTATTCTTTACATAAAGCTCTTTCTTATACATATATGAGTGCCTATGGATTTCTCTAGTCAACCGGACTAACACAGATTGTTAACCCCAATAGACAGATGCGAAAACAACCCTGGAGAGGCTCAGAGTGTTGTCCAAGGTTACGAGTGAGATGGTGATCGAACTAGCGACTCAGGCTCTCCAGGACAAGAGCCAAACACATGGGCCTGAAGCGCAAGCTCCGTGCCTGGCTCGGTGGTGTTGCTGACTCTTTTCTTCGAGCCGTCATCAGCCGTGGCCCTCACCCTCTCACCCTTGCTGATCACCACAGGAATGTGGTGTCTGTGGCTCAAGTCAAGACATGTAGGAAGAAGGGAGAAGAGACAAGGACAAGTTAGGGACTTCCCCATTTCCGATGAGTTAGCTTGCTCCCAGAAGCCGCACACCACGACTCATTGACATTTTATTAACCAGAGCTTAGCTACCTGGCCACGCTTAACTTATTGCCCTTGGCTTGGATGTCTTCTTCCCTGGAGTAAACCAGGATTTTTCCCAAAAGGAAGGAGAGAAGGGGTCCTTCTGTCTCTTCCATACCTCCTAATAGGTACTTGCTTTGAGCTGAACTTAAGCCAAACTAAACCCACTGCCCCTGAACTGATTCTCTGGGACTGCCCCTCAGGGCCCCAAGGCTATCAGTCGTCATGGAAGCAGACTGCCCCATCTCTCTCCATCGGAGCAGCTGGTGGGTTTGAACTGCTGATGCTTGAGCACTTCAATCACCGCACAACCGGGGCTCTTTTTTAACTGAAGGGAAGAGCATAAATTCTTCTCCAAACGTTTACCATATGCAGAAGGCATTCTGGGGAGGGAACCTGAAGGCCTGTTTTCTTTTGAGCTGGAACGTGCAAAGCTTAGGATGGTTGTAAAAAAGTGGGTCTGGCGTCTGAGTGTGAACTCCTCAGCTTCACAAAGGGGAAGGAGGTGAGTCATTAGTAGCATCAGCCCAAGGAAACATGGGAGTCCCGTGAGATGGAGGTAACACATGCCTCTACCCTTCCAGCTTTTCAGCATTTCTGATACCAACTGTCCCTCCGGTGTGACGCTCTCTGCTAGGTTAGATCATTCATTGCAATGGACACAGAATACCCAGGTCATACTCACAGCTATGGGGTTTATTATAGTGGGGATTTAACAGTTCACAATTCTGGCTCAGGAGTGCGTCTCTATGTTGCTTGTCAACAGGAATCTGAAGCAGTGTGTCTGGCCTCCAGTGAGCTATTTCTCTCTGTTGTGCTTCCAAATGTGGTCATCAAGTTGCAACCTGATTGTCAGGTTAGATAGACTCCACCCCTTCCTCAAGTTGACAGGATATTAGGTAACTGTCACACTCATGTTAAGCCTAGCAGGACTGACAATACCCAGAGTAAGTTACTATGGCCTTATTTGCTTGGCTCCATGTTACATGGGTACTGTGCCCCTTATTTACAATATGAGCAAACTCGCCAATCCCCTTGGTGGGCCGTAAGCACCTCATATTTGCATAGTTCTCCGCAGCCTTTTGGTGGGAGTTACAACGAAGATCCTAGACGGGTGTATCAGGCACTTCACAGCACCCCCACTATGATGCAGCTTAAAACCGTTCTGGGAAAGCTGCTGTCATTCATAGGCCTCTGGGCCAGAGTTACCTCTGAGTTTAGCTCACTCAGTGGGTAAAGTACTTATGGCCATGCAGTTCTTGCCAACTCAGTGACCCTCTAGGTCAGGGTAGGACTGTCCCTGTGAGTTTCAGAGACTCACCCTACAGAAGTAAAGAGCCCCATCTTTCTACCATGGAGAAAAGCACTAGCATCCAGCACCTGCCTCTGCCCTTCTTGTGCAAGTGGTCTGGGGCTTATCCATCCTGGTGGCCTCCCAGGGTGACCCAGGGTGACCAAGGGGTTTCAGAGAGCTGTGTCAGGTGCCAGGGGGAAGCCCCAGCTGTGAGTGAGTGAGCTGCACCCCTGCAGGACTCTCACTTTGGATGAACTTCCCCCTCTGGACGATGAAGATGAGCTCTGGGTTTCTCAAACTTCCCGTGGTTTTGGATCACTTTCTGCTATTTCGAGGGAGACTGGGGCATTTTAATAAGCGGGAGAAACCAGTATGGAGTGAGAAACAGGCTGGAAGCGCGCAGAGATGAGGAAGTTAAGACTGCTCCGGAACCAGCCGGCCTGGTTTTAGCTGGTCCACCTGGAGGGAGGTCACAGATGACCACCAGGCGCTACTTAAGGCCCGTGTCTTATTCTGATAGGGCATTGGGGAGCTCTGGGAGGCCTCCTGTTTGACTGTTCCTCCCAGGAAGTTCTTTGCTTATCCTGGGTTTCTTCCCTCACCATATAAAGTTAATAACTCATTTTTCTGATTCTTTAAAGAATGGCATGGGATCTGGATAGGATTTGCTTTGCATTTATAGGTTGCTTTGTAGTACTGACATTTTCTCAATGTTAAGCCTTCCTATCCATGAACATATAATGTTCTCCCATTTTTTCTAGGTCTCCTTAATTTCTTATAATAGTGTTCTATCGTTTTCTTTATACAAGTCTTTTGTTTCTCTGGTTAGGTTTATTTCTAAGTAGTTCATCTTTTGTGTGGTTATTGAAAGTAGTATTGTTTTCTTGGTCCCCCCCACCCCCGCCCCCCAGAGCTCTCTTTGTTGGTATACAGGAATCTGATGGATTTTTTGGTGTTAATCTTGTATCCTGCCATATTTATGAATCTTTCGATAGTTTCCAACCATTTTTTGTTTGTTGTTGCGTCTTTAGGGTTTTCTACATATGAAATCCAATCAACTGCAAATAGTGAGCCTTTCCTTTGCGGGCTCCTCATATTAATTAGTTCTCATTTATGGACAGCTGATCCATGTACCAGGTTCTGTGGGAAGTCCTGTGTATGTTTGATCATCTTTTTTGTACTGCAACGAAGGGAACAGGGATCTCCTGTTTTATAGAAAAGGAGACCAAGGACTAGAGAGGTTAAGTAACTTGCCCACGATCACACAGGTGAGTCCGGTCTATTGACACCTGTGCCCGTGACCTTGCTTAAACAATGATGTTGCTCCCAAAAGAGCTGCGTGATGTTGCTCTTCCTGGGCCAACTGGAGTACATTGTCATTTTAGGGGATCCCAACAAGCCTTCGGGATTCAGAAGTGTAAAAGCTCCGGTCACCAAAGTGGCTTCATCGATCGGAAATTCTCAGAAGCTGTCCATCTGTGAGAAGTGCGGCACCGGCATCGTGTGAGTACCTGCCCCCTGCCGGCAATGCAGAACGTGCTGCACCTTGTGCGTTTGGGCCAGGAAGGGGAAAACTGAAGGCGAGAGGCCAGGCAGGTGCCATGCCCCAGAGCCAGGAGGGAGGGGGAAGTTTCCTCGGCCCTGGAGCCCCTAGGGTGCTGACACAGGAGACGGAAAAAGGCAGGGCGCTCTGTGACAGTAGGAAGGGCTTCCTGGGGAGACTTCCCGAGTACTGTGCCTGGCCCCCAGGTGGGAGAAGCCCCTTTAGGAACGGAGGCCAGGGGGGCAGGCTCTGTTCTGCCCTTTGAGTCCCATCCCTGGCCTAGGGAATAAGGCTAC